AATGTTCAAGAATAATTAATTAACGAAGATATAGGTAAAAATAAAACAATAATTAACACGACTTAACGAGGATAAAACCAGGATTAACGACCATCCAGCTCCCTCTTGTGGGTATATGAAAACTTCACCCCATTAGAGAGAGAGAGAGAGAGAGAGAGAGAGAGAGAGAGAGAGAGCTCAAAAGAAAGCGAGGGTGAAAATAAGAGACATTTTCTACTCACTCTCACTGTTGTATAGAAAGTGTCTCCTTAACTCCTAATTGTCTATTTCGGGAGAGAAAGAAAGAGATGGGGAGAGAAGAATGAGAGATAAGGGGTGTGAAATTAGTCTCCCCTTTGTAAAAGCTCTTGTGGGGAGAGACGTATTCGTTTGATAAAGAAAATGGAGTGGGGTAAGATAGATAGATAGATAGATAGATAGATAGATAGATAGATAGATAGATAGATAGATAGATAGATAGATAGATAGATAGATAGATAATTGTGAAGTACCTGTCCGCTCAAGGTGGGTCTAATTAGCCGTGTGAGCGTTGTCAGATTGTATGCGGTGTAGTTAGGCATTGGTTAATCGATTATTGTTACTTAAGACTTTGTGTGTGTGAGAGAGAGAGAGAGAGAGAGAGAGAGAGAGAGAGAGAGAGAGGGAAACTATAACAGAAATAAGGAAAAAATGAAAGAAAAAATATAGACAGAAGGATAGAAAGGATGAATGAAATACAACGAACAAAAATGATTTACTTTTACAATCAATCCATTCAATTCTCTCCCCTGTCACCAAACTCAATTTTAAGCAATTCCCTTCTTTATCCCACGTTTCTATGCCTCTTTTTATCATCACCTACTGCTCTATCTACCATATTTATACGTGGTTTTCATATTACTTTCTGTCTGTCTGTCTGCCTATCTGTCCGGCGGTTTAACACTATTTATGCAATTTCTATCGTCTGATATCTCTCTCTCTCTCTCAATCACTGAGGCATTTTCTTGACCCCACAACTAAATGTCAGAGGTCAGTAATATTAAACAGAGGAAGAGAGTAAGTGAAACACGGGTTGCATTGTCCGTAGAGTTTTACACATCATGGTGATCGAAAAGTCCCTGTGCACCTGCGTTACTTAACATATTGTGGTTCTTTGTTATATTCACATTGTTATATGACTTGTTTTACCTATATTGTTATATACCGTGTTATAATTATAGTAAATTATATAAATTATATATATTTCTACCATTTAATGTGATAATTTATCGTGATTATTAAATACAGATCAAGGGAAATAATTGTATTGTTAGGTATTAGAGGTGCACAGGGACTTTTTGATCACCTTTTATTACCTCTTCTGGGTGATGGTGGATGAATCGAACTGAAATATCTATATATCTACTTATCTATCTGTATATTATCTATCTATCGATCTTTCTGTCTTTCTGTCTGTCTGCCTGTGTCTGTCTATCTATCTATCTATCTATCTATCTGTCTTTCTGTCTGTCTGCCTGTGTCTGTCTATCTATCTATCTATCTATCGTCTAAACTCTGTCTATCTGTCTGTCTGTCTATCTGTCTGTCTATCTGTCTGTCTATCTATCTATCTGTCTTTCTGTCTGTCTGTCTGTGTCTGTCTATCTATCTATCTATCTATCTATCTATCTAACGTCTAATCTCTCTCTGTCTTTCTGTCTCTCTATCTATGTCTCTAACTGTCTGTCTATCTCGCATTCTCTTTCTCTCAAACCTCCCGCCCACTCTCACACACACACACCCACTCAACCCACCCTCCACACCCACTCTCACTTACATTTCCGCCTTTCCTCTCCCTCCGTAAGCCTTCCAATACACACTAACACACACACCCATTCCGCACAGTAGACAGACAAAGGCGAAACTGGAAGCCAATCTCTATATACCCCCACCAGAGACAGATATATGTGATATAAAAACTGGTGGCGGGAATTGGTTCGTAAGCACAGGATAATTAGGAGTTTGGAGGCAGAATTGGGCAAAAATAGGAGTGTGTCCATGAGAGAGAGAGAGAGAGAGCACGACTGATGGATTGTGTAAGTGATGAAAAACTCTCTCTCTCTCTCTCTCTCTCTCTCTCTCTCTCTCTCATATTTTCCTTTATAAATACGTTCCCCTGTCCGACACAGGCTCACCAGATGCTAAAAATAGTTTATGCTCATTCTGGTAATACTGCTCCTGGGCATCTGAACTTGCATTTGCGATATTGGCAACACGTGTTAGTATGAGTGGCTGGTGGTAATGATGGTAGTGGGTGGTAGTCGTGGTGGTGGAGATGAGGTTGGGGAGAGAGGGGAATTGATGATGGTAGTGGTAGTCGTGGTGTTAGTGGTAGTTGTGGTGGTAGTAGTGGTAGTAGTAAATAGATAGATAGATAACAATAACTAAAAATACCAATAAAATAAAATAATATAAAACAGTTCGGTCACAAAAATATTTATTAATTTTTTTAAGTTAATAGAAACAAAAAAATAAATACCAGGGACCAAATAAAAAAAATCACAAAAATTACAGAGAAATATACAAAAAAAATAAAAGGAATAAAAAAGTCACGAATAAAAAATTACGAAAAAAAATCACACGAACCCCCCAAAAAAAGACAAATCACGGATAAAATAAGAACACAAAAAATATACTAAAATAACACATTAATTTATACCTCATTTGCATACTGAAGTTTCCCTAATTTTCAGTGCAGTTATTTTTCCCTCTATTTTTTTGTTTGAGTATTTTCTGAGTTAAAAACCAAACGGAGCGAAAACCTGATTATGTTAATGTATTGTGGAGGTAACGTGAGATAGAGAGAGAGAGAGAGAGAGAGAGAGAGAGAGAGAGAGAGAGAGAGAAAATGGGATGGCTCTCACAGTACACACACACTCACACACACACAACAATATATAATAAATACTGGTGAATGTAATTTGTGTGTGAAGCCTTATGTATGAGGAGTGAAACCTGACCCAACTCAACACTGGATTAAAAAAAGTGATATATTAATAAATACAATTTATTTGTCTGTCTGTCTGTCTGTCTGAATGTCTCTATTTATGTATGTATGTATGTATGTATGTATGTATGTATGTATGTATGTATGTATGTATGTATCTTTGTATGTATGTATATTTGTATTATATTATGTGTGTGTGTGTGTACGTGTGTATCGCTTTATAAATACATATACTGATATATACACCATACATATACATATACACCATTACATTATAACACACCTACATCAAATCCCTTATTTACATAATATTTCACAAAGGAAAAAAATAAATTCATCTGTATTCTTTTTCCTTCACTCAACCTTTGTAAATTCAGATAAAAAAATAAAGGATTTTTTGTTTTTCTCACTGCGACATTTACTTAAGTACCAACATTACCATAATTCTGTCGTATCTGTGTCGGTCCGAGTCTTTCTGTCTGCTATACATCCCTCACTGTTCTGACTTTGATGGTGGATAGTTTTGGAGAGATGCCCTTCTGTCACTATGGGGAGGGTGTGGGGGGGGGATGAGGGGTGGAGAGGGGGCGCTTAGGTGGGTGGGGGAAAGGGGTGAGGGATGGAGAAGGGGTGTTGGAGTGTGAGAGGGAGGAAGTGGTGGGGTGTGTGTGAGAGGGAGAGGGTGTTGGGGTGAGAGAGGGAGATGTGGGATGCAAGAGGAGGAGAAGGAGGAGGCGAGAGAGGGAGAATATGGGAAGGAGGCGAGGGAGTATAGGAAAGGGAGGAGGAGAGGGACCGAGGGGAAGAGGGGACCATAATAACATAAATTCGTATGTCAAGTTTGATATCGATCAGCACAGTCGTTTTCAAGTTATAGAGCAGACAAGACAGTAATTATCGTACAGACAGACAGACAGAGAGACAGACAGACAGACAGACAGACAGACAGAAAGAAAGACAGACAGACGAACAGAGACAGGGTGTAGCGTAAATTAACACTAAATAACCCAAACACACAAACACACACACACAAAAATACATGAAACATACACGCGAAATATATTTACAGCACAAAATATATCCATTTCAGAGAAAGCGAAATATTTTGCTGTGGAATCGTGTTGACAAAATTTAGGCATGACATGAACCTAATTTACTCTGTGCGTTATTCTAAAAATTTATTCGTAAAAAGTAGAACAAAAATAAAAAACTAAAACTAAAATAATAAAATTCCGGTTAAAAAAATAAAAATCCTAATACCAGCTTGAGGGATTTTTTACATGGTTTATTAATTAATGCATTCACTTAAAATTGTATTAATTTGGTAATTAAAGCGTATTTAACACATCCATTATCTAATTGTCCATATCATTATGCATCAAAGAATTTATCTCAATTCATCTAACTTTAAATAATCAATTAAAACAACGAAAACAAAAACAAAATTATATACAATAACAAACCATCCGAACTATTACAATAAATTACAACAATTACCCCAAATAACAGTTAAATTACAATACAAATGACGTTGAAGAAAAACCCTAAATACATCATGAGGTCAACACCAACACGGAAACATTAACCAGACAGATACATTTCGGGTCAAGGTCCATGAAAAATATGGGGCGGTAGACCCATGATGATCGTGTTCGAGCAGCAGCATTAACGCGGGTAATTGAGATGTGACAGACGCCCGATATTTTTCCACCTGGTATATCGCTCCTGGTGGTGCTAAAGGCTTCCGCTCAGCCTTTAATGGAATGAATGGTTGGTGTCAGTTTACTGTGATGCATTGGTTGATCTAAATGAATTTCATTTGAGTGTGTGGGTGAAAGAGTCCCGTATAATATTTATTTATAGATATAGATATAGATATATAGATATAGATAAATGTATATACTTCTTTACGTACACATCTTTCCGTGTTCGTTATATGTACAGTAGCTTCTGTTTAGCCATTCTGGTCCCAGACTGAGGGACGTACACAGGACCAATATCCTCTCAGTAAACAATACTTTCTTCTCCTCTACAGAGAATACTACGAGCGACGACTGGAACTACACGCTTCCCAACCTACTGGAATACCTGGATGGTCTGCTGGAAGGTGGAGGGAGCGGCCAGGGGCGACCCATCCTTCAGGACCCCAACAAGGCCACAACAGACGCCACGGCCACTACACTATGGGAGGCCGTGGCTGGCTCCCTCACCCCATCACCTACACCCCCAACCACCACCACCCTAGCGCCCATCAATAAGCCCATGTTCCCCCTCAACTTTACCCTCAGAACCACAATGGAATCACTACTCAAGACCCCAGCCAACGTCACCCTACTGGAGCCTTTGACTTCAGCGTCCGCGGGAGTCTTAGACATGGACTCTACGGTGAGCGCTGTAGGAGTCCTCAGTCCCTCGACCCCTGAGCTATTACTCGGCAGCAATGAGTCACTAGTCACACTCGACGACACTTTCTGGCTCGGGGTAAACGACTCAACCAATGGCAGTAATGTCTTCGGGAACGACACGACGGACGGACCTCTGATGGACACTGTGGGTATGGTCATCACCTCTGTCATACTGGGCATCATGATCCTCACTACTGTCATAGGTGA